TCCCCACTGCTGCAGCTTGCAGCTGCTGCGCTGCTAGCACCCCGTCCTGGCCCCTACAACGTGGGCAGGGGCAGTCCCTAACGCAGGGGTGGGCAAAATGCAACCTGCGGGCTGGATGCAACCCACCAGGCCATTCTAGCTGGCCCACGGGGCCCCTAAAAATTTTAGAAAATTAATATTTATCTGCCCCTGGCTGCCTGTCATGCATCCCTCAATGGCTTGCCAAAACTCAGTAAGTGGCCCTCCGCCCGAAATAATTGCCCGCCCCTGGGATGTAGATTGGTGTTGCTCCATTGAGTTCGATGGAGCTGCTGTGGACTGACCAGAAGTCCAGGTTCTCACACTTGAGAGTAAAATCCAGCCCTTGGCACATCCATGAGACTCTGATAACAATAGTAGCTTTGCTATGGACTGACAACAGTCTAGGCAGAGGCTCTGTACCTCTGTGACTCTTCCTTACTTAGGAAATGCTCCTAGGAGTTTAGCTGGTCTAGGCTGTCTCTGTGTTAAGTTGATGCTCAGTGTTTTGCTTTCTTGACATAGACAGGTGTGTCACCATGTTAGAGGTGCCACCCTGTCCTGCCAGCTGCAGTTCTTGATAGGGGAACCAGTCCAGGAGCTGTAATTCCTGATGCAGCAGAATAAATAATTTGGTGGTGGAGAGAAGGTATTGTTTGGTAACTGTGACCTGCTGCCAGGTAATCCTGGGCCATGGGTTTGTCAGATTTCATCAGTGATAGCACTGGGGACCAACATTTTTGGCCAGAAATTGAACCCCATGGCCTCCCTGAGTGCTATTCCAATCTCCTTTCCCTGTCTGTTTTGCTGATTTGTCTTCTACTCCCTGCCCTATGCTCCCTGCTCTATCTGCCGCTCTCCTTTTTGCTCCCTGCCCTGTTTGCAGCTGTGCTGCCTGCCCTTATCCCAGTCTGTCACTTGCTACACACACAGGCTGCCTATGCCACTTTTGGCACACATGCCACAGGCTGGCCACTCGTGAGTTACACAGGTCAGGCCTGACCCTGCTTATGAATAAGGGATCTTCAAGGAAAATCCCTATGTCAAAAAACAAGATTGAGGATTTGGCACAGGGTACTCCTCCTTCTCACTCTGAACTAACTCATTCCTGCCCAGCCTGGTGTCAGAGCTCCTATTTTTCAACAATTCAAGAATAATTCAAGAATAATTGCATTTTCCTGTCAAAATTCTCTGTGCAGTCTCAGTTTGAGACCATATGCTCCCTTGCTTTCTTTGCAAAACTGTTGTATTGTAACTGAGTGCAAGTAAAGAGTTGGTGTGTTCCAATCCAGAGGTGGCTGCATGAGAAAGGTTTCATGTCTGCAGTCTGGAAGGACCTGTGAGATGAAGGTTACTGTATAAATGTGAGATTACGAGTCACCACTTTCTAAATGCATTTAATGGTATTAAGCTTACTGAATTTAAGCTACTTACAGTAGCTTTCAGGGATTCCAGCCAAAGGCATCTCAAGGCTATTGGTAAAATGGGCCATTAGGGTTCTGTTCCAAATTAAAAAATGATAATGATGGTACAATATGCCATGTAAAGGCATGGAAGAGCTTTAATCGTTATTGCTGCTCCCCTTCTTGTCTCTCTTTTCATGGAAAGAGTTGGTAGAACTTGGCTTTGCATTCATTTTAAAAATAGGATTGAAGTTATCATAGAATTCATACTGCGTTAACTATGCAAGTACACGTGCCACTTTATACCACTTTAACTACAAGCTTAGTTACAGTAGTAAAATAGCTTTCCTGTGGATGCTGCTATAGTGGGATAAAGATTTTTAATATGGGAAGGGAAATAAACCATACCAATACAGACATTTTCTATAGTGGGCTAAATGCATCCACAACAGGAAATTGTACTACTGTAGCTGTCAGTAACAAACACCTTAATTTAAATTATTATACAGGTATAAAAATGGTGTAAGCCTGTTTTCTACCCCCTTGGATGCATTTAGGGTGCACATTTTTAATAGCACATGTAAATTTGTACATGTTTTCTCTACCACTAATCCCAAGCACTGACAGTAGCATCTGAGCACTTTACAGATGCTAGTGAATTAATCTCTCCTAGAAAGTAGAGAAGCATTATTCCCATTATACCAGTGGGAAACTGAGCCACAGGGATTAAGGCTGAGATTTCCAATGCCAGCTAAAGAATTGGGACACCAAGGTCCAAGTATCTTAGACACCTTTGAAAATCCTGACTGGATTTGTCCACAGTCAATACAGTCAGTGTACAACACAGGTGGAAGCTGAATCCAGAGGTCTGGGTCACATTGTAATACTGTAACAACAAACTGATTTTTACACAGGTTCATTGTCTTGCTCAATGGCATGTAATTAAAACAGTCTTCCTGTTTCAGCCTTTCGCACCCCCAAACCAGCCTGGTTCCTTGCCTACTAACCAACAAAAGGAGCACTTTTAAACAACAGTTTATTGTATAAAATTGCATTGAATAAAATACAATTATAATGTTATTGCACAGTATCTCAGACAACCATTCCAGTATATTTAAGTACTTTTGTATAACGTACCTGGCAACCAAAATGAGGAATTCAAGAAAAAAAATGTAGTGCAGTGATTTTAGGATTACTGCCCCAGTCAGCAAGCAGATGGCACAAGCATACCTTAAGCATATGAATGGTCACATTGGATTTCAATAGACTACTCACATGCTTAACATCCAATGTGACTACTTGTGCATAAAGTGACTGGAGTCTCCAAGTGCCCTGCTGAATGAGAGCTCAGTGCATTTAGCATAAATACATTCTTACGTTCTCTGTTTCATGATTCAAAGGGTCTGATTTAAATAACGTAAAATTACATGGAATGCCAAGCATAGTGCAAGGCTGAGAAACCAAAACTTCACAAACCGGGAAAATGGAAAAAAATAATATTTTGACTAGTGCAACATTCATTCAGTCCTTGTGCTCGATCTGTGTTTTATAGCATAAATGAACTAAATGCTGTTAACATTTGCCAAGTAGTGCAGATTATGTATGTACTAATTTTACTTTCTCTAATAGCCTGTCTGCTGAGTGCCTTGTTACTCACTATAAATTTGCTTTGGGTGCTAATGTTTTTGTTTTTAATTTTCCTGATTATGTAGAAAAACTAAAAAGTCTCAACATGCTCCTTGAAAAGTCTTGAGGATTTGCCTAAACACAAAAACTATACTGGCTTTGTGAATTAAACCAGTATGGTTGAACCATTGAAGCTGTGTATATTGACACACTGGGGGTTTAAGCCTGGTTTACACTAATTTAGCTTGCCCATGTTAAAAGAACTGAGTAGCATGTCCCAGACCCTGCAATGGTCTCCAAATGGGTAGATCCCTGGCTCTGTGCTTGAAGGTAAGTGCTTATGCAAAGTTCATTCCAGGATCAGGATGCAAGAATGCTTTTGTGGATCTAAGATTGTTTTATTTATGCTCTCTTACTTTTATGAACTGTGCACCAGCATTTTTTGGGTCTAGCAAGACCTTCCCTTCACTGAGGACTGTTTGCATTCTAAGTGTGACTCAAAGCTCAGAGTCTCTGGACTTATTCACAGTAAAAAAAAGAAGTGGATGGGCCTTGTCTTCCACTGATGTAAATGGACATAAGTCTAGTGAATTCTACATGGGTGTGCTGATTTACACCTGATGAACATGTGCTTATGGACTTTTTTTGTTGATGTTGTCATAATTAAGCAGAACATGATTGGCTGAAATACTCAAAAACATATCAGGCATTTGGGTAGAAACCAAGCACGAAAGTTGTCATCCCCAGAGACACATTTCTCAGGTTATGAGCCAGTAAAAACAGTGCATTAGAACCGAAACGGTGCTGCAGCCTTAATGATGTCTGTGTGATTGTTCAAGTAAAAGAGATAATAATGGCTTCCTGAATGATGGAAGGGTTTGGGACTGTGAAGGGACTCCACTCATTAGAGGAATGCGAGCAGAAGGCATGATATTCACAGGGGACACACAAAGTAAACTATCCACTGCTCAGCTGAACCAGCCAGCAAAGCTTTCCTTGTTAGCCCAATGAAATGGTAAATTAAGGCTTATGGTGATTACTGAGAATAAAACCAGGTCACCCTGTGAAGATGAGTATCAGATCTCCTGATGGTGCTGAAGCATTACTGAATGCAGTGGACTTTTGCAGATCATTGATGAGATTACCGAAGACCTAGGCTACGTCATCCTGGCCTGGGCCTAGATGCGCTGTTGTGAACACAAAGCATAGCAGAGAAGGCCCCAGTTTGCTTCTGTGGTGCTAACTCCAGCTAGGATAAACTCCACTCACGCAAGCCATAGCTTCCCTTGTGTGCGCTTAAGAGTTTGTACATGCATCTTATCATGGACTAATAGTATCCTGATCCTGGCAAATTCCCTATGTAGACAAAGCCTCAAAGTGCTTTAGATATTTGATACTGAAGCCTTGCATTATCCCTATGAGAAAGGTAGGAAGGTAAGCCCATTTCATAAACTGAGGCACAGAAAGGCTAAGGAACTTGGCCATGGACATGGAGAAACAGAGTAAGAGAAACAGTCATTAGATCTCAGTGCTTCTGTCTGTAGAGGACACTTTCATCTAGTCAAGAAATGTCTCTGAGAGGTAAGGCAGGCAGGAGAATTAGGTGGCCCATACAGACTGTCCCAAATCCTGGGGCAATTTTGATGAAATAATCTTGTACCAAATGAGTCCCCCACTGGGCACGACCTTGACAGAGAAGCATAGGTCAAGCTGAACAGACTGACATCTGGATACAGATGCTTCAAAACAACACTTCATCAGATGAACATCTTGGACAGACCCTGTATGAATTTGGTGTCCACCAAACAGCACAGCACTTTATCGGACACTGCAATCTTTACAAATACCCAATTGGGCAGATGAAAACTGCACATTGAACAATAATGCCAGACAGTGGCTCATAGGTTTGGAAGTTGGTATTTGACGCTATATGAAAGAGAAAGAGAGAGAGTGGACCTTGTCTGTTCTTTCTATTCGGTGAGTTGGGAGGCGGGTTCATCTGTAAAACTCCTGCCTGCCACATATGGTAAACAAGCAGGACAAATTTGGCAAAATCTATACATTTTTAACCTTCTGGGAATGTGGCAAAATGCTGGACATTTTTCCAGTTGTCCAGAGGTTTTTCCCCCAGTCTGATATCTTTGAGATGCAGCCTTTCTTATGTCATCTCTTTCCTGGCTGTGCAGTCCATGCACTTCCTCCTCAGAATACTATAAGATTCAAAGCAAACTGCTCATGCAAAACAAACATTATATTATTTCTTCCTTCTTAAGAGTAAAGTCCAAACTTAGTGGTAGTTGGGGAATGAGCTTGCAGTTTCAGGGTTTGGGAGGAGTGAAGGTGTGGAGGGATGTCTTTGTGATGTCTCCAAAGCCTGCAGCCATGTCCTGTTGGATAGTAGATCTGCAGTTTCTGTGCTTTTGGTTGCTATATTCTTCTCAGGGGATCATTACACTTCTGTAGAGTGATCCATTACACTGGAAGATACAGAAAACAATCTAGGTAATTCCAGTAGCCCCAGCAAGCACATGTATTGAATATAGCAAGTGGATCTTAGATGAATAAAACTATTACAAAGAGATGATTGAAAAATATTCAGACAAGAACAATGTTCATGGAAAACTGGGCTTTCAATTAAAAGATTTTTTTTAAAAGACTCTTCTGCTCAAAGAAAATATCCATTTTATCAGAAAATCAAAGGCTCCAAAACTAAAATAGTTTTATTTGGACATGCCAACATGTTCCCTCATGGCAGTAGCATAATATGAGGTGGGTGAATGGGGCACGTGCTTGGGCATTAAGGGGAAGGGTGCCAGAAGGAGTGGATGGGGGGCATTGTCTGTTCAGCTTGCACTTCTCAGCTGCACAAGCAGGCAATATGTCATATGGCACAAAGCATTTTGGGAATTGTAGTTTTGTAGAGCAGCAGTAGAGTTCACTGGTGCTGGGAGAACTGACTCCATTTTTTTGCCATCAAAATCAGCAATGACAGCAGTTGTCTCTCCTAGAAAAGTGGTCTTGTGGCAATTTGGGAAGAATGTTTCCATTATCCTATAAATAGTGTGAGTGACTAGTCCTTTGACTATTGCTGCCTGAATGAATTGTTAAGTCAAAGGAGGCTGTGAAGGGGTTGTTATAAAACCAGCAGGAAAGGTAAAACAACTCCTGAGATACCTAGGTACTTAGCTTCAAAGAAGCTGAGAAAACTAGAGCTGGGCCATCCACTGGGGGAAGTAACCTAGCTGGTTTCCTTCAGGTTTTACTTCTTCCCATAGGCAACAGATGGCTGGGGTGGGGGGGAGGGCATGTGCCCCCCCTGAGATTGGCCCTTGCCAGCTGGGGAGTGGGGAAGACAGCTGGTGCCCTCCTGAGATTGTGGGGGTACCAAGCACTTCCAAGTTTGCTAATGGCACTTCTGCTGGTGGCAGCTATCACCCCCACCCTCGGTCAGAGATTGGCTGCTGATGCCCCCACAGTATCAGGAGGCACCAGTCGCCCATGCTTCTTTCCAAGGTGACATTCAAAGGAGACCTAGGGTACCACAGGCACTAGAAAAGGGAGAGGGCTTGGGTCAGCAGGGAGAGGCTGCCTCCGGTTGCATCAGTGAAAAGAAGCTGGCAGAGGGGGCATGCGTGTAAACAGAACAGCACTCAAGACCTGGGGAAATCACCACCACCTAGAGAAATTACATTTGGCTAAAGGAGCATGGCAGGCTACTCTGTGCTGGTTTGAAACTGCTCCTCTGAGCGCTGCATGTCCTCTGGAGAAGTCAGTCATGCTTTTTTCTAAAGAAGTAGTTTCTCGAATCACTGCAAACACAGGGGGTGTTAGGCTTCTGGAGGAACCCAGTTTGCTGGACCTGCCAGATTAGAGTTTCCAGGGGATTGTAAATCCCAGTCTGCCCAACAGCGGATGAACTGTGGTATTCCACCCCAGGAGAAGAGAAGTCCTCACTTATCGGGCGCAATCGGCAGAAGCCTGACCGGGACAGTGGGGCCAACAGCCTGTAACTGAGCTTGAATTGCTGAGTTAGCCCAGTCAGCAAGAACCAGCAGTGGATTGTTCCTTTTCTTCTCCAGTCTACTTATAACTGTATAAATGGGTCTAGCAATGAAGCTGCCTCCATTTCCTGCCAATGCCCCCATGACTTCTCTCAGAATAGCCACATGTCTCTGGAGTCCCTGCTGAGCATGCAGATTAAATGCCATGAGGCTGACCTGTGGTAGAACGGGTGCTTTGAGCCCCAGAATGCCAAGGCTCTGCCAGTGGCACAAGGAGAAACCCTTGACCAGCACAGACCATTTCTACTCAAAGCCACTGGCAAGGCCCACAAGGAGCAATCTCATCCATTCGTCTGCTGTGCCCAGCCACCCCTGCCCAGGGCAGCCCTCAGGGGCACATGAGCCAGGGGAGGGCAGCAGGCATTAAGAGCACAGCAGGCAGGAAGACAGCCTTTTCTCTGATGATCTCAAAGCACTTTACAAAGCTGAGGAAGCCAGTGCAAAAAGGTGAAGTGATTGGCCCCAAGGTCAGGCTGCCAATCAGACTCTGGATATCACTGTCTCCCAAGAGGGAGAGGGCCCCTTCAGTGTTAGGCTTTGGGCAATACCTACCTGAGTTCTTCCTGAAGATGTTTCTTTTTTTCCTCCAGGTTCTTATTCTTAACCCTCTGGGGGACATCAGGGACATACCAGGCTGCGATCAGCTTGATGCATAGAGCTACATGCTGAAAAGAATCAAAGAGAGCCCACCGTGCAATCAGGACCCATGTCTCTGTAGACTTGAGCTGCACTTGGTGGCTGAGCAGGGACAAGCAATCACTCCACAACAGTGCTCAGCTGCTTTACTTCACCACATAAGTGATACATAATCTGGTCCAACTCCCACTGAAATCAATACAGAAACTCCTATTGACTTCAGTGGGAGAAGGAGAGCTGCCATGAAATGTACAGTAGTGCCTCTGCGGAGTTGGAAAGGGAGGGAGGTTGTTTCTTCAGGCATGTATGTCCCCTTCATGCTATCAGAAGACTAAAACCGGGGCCCTTCTCATGCCAGTGCTGAGAAACGAGGGCCCCATATCATGGCATGAGGTCTCCAAAGAGTCCCTTGTTTTGCTTGACTTTACCTCTGTCCCTGGCTGCATTTCACCTGTCTCCTTTGAAATGCTGGCTTTGCCATGGTACTGTTACCCAGTGGGCCATGTTACCAGTGCAGCTCCCCTGTGCTGTGGGCTGCCCCACCTAATGGCAGCGATGTCTCCTTGGTATGGCAGCGGCATTGTTTGAAGGGCTGAGGGTGCAAGTGGACAAGGCTTTCCAGCAGGACGGAGCAGCAGTTGCAAGGACACTGGGGTCAGGGCAGGGGAGGGAAGAGAAGAGCAGGAGTGGTGTGGGCAAAGGCAGGAGTCAAGTCTGATGAGAAGTGAATGGAGCAGGGGGCTGATGCAGCTGAGGAGGAAGGCTGTGAGCAGAGAGGAAGAAGGAAACTCCCTCAGTTCCCAGCTGGACTACCACAGAAGCAGCCTTTTCAGAGAGTCCTGCCACTAATGCATAAACCTTCACCCCTGCTGCCATACTGCTATCCTGACAGGAATGTGGGATTCTCTTCCCCATCCAAATACTATGGGAGGTAGCCTGGGCAGCCCTGGTGCTGCTGCCTGCTGGGGCCCCATTCATTACACTCACCTCAAATATAATCAGGAAGGCGAGTCGGGCTGCAAATACGTGCCAGAACTGCACAGAGTAACTGTAGTCATCATTGTTCCTGTAGTCCCTGTACCTGAAGGACACAATGCATCAGCCCCATCTGCACAACCCCTCAAACCCCATCCCTGGCCTGGTTATCATGGGCTTCACCCAGAGGTGATTCATGGGTTTGCATGATGGGGTGGCCCTGGTGGCTCATCCAGTCCCTTCCCCTGGGACCAATCCCACATTACTCCCTAAAGACTCTGTTCAGTTCATATATGAGTAAATTGGACAATAAGGCTTCCTCCACTGACTAACCCTTGCCCATGGGATAGATCAGTATAGGTCCTTTGGCCCACAAGGGTGTCACACCAGTTAATACTAGCAATGTATCTGGCCCTTTCTGAGAATGCAGAAAGGATGTGTGTTAGGGCCAATTTAACAAGCAATTAGCTGTGTATTAGGAAGGATTACTGTCAAGCTATGAGAAGGGTTAAGGGTCAGCATTATGGAGCCACTATTACCTGCATTCTGTGATCTGCTTTTCAGCTAAGTCCTGCAGCTTCATATGCCATTCAAAGTCTCGAACGCGGAACACCGAGAGGCTGTGGTTGATGTAACCTGTCAAACAGCTGCAGAAAAGGAAAGGAAACAGTTACATACAGAGGCTTGCTCATGTCCCAGTGAGCTCATCCCAAGCCAGGATACTCAGGTCAGGCTTAGGAAAGATGGCAGATCAACATCCCACCTTTTAGAGAAACCAGGCAAAACATGGAGGGACAGGTCATGGAAGGGAAAGGAAAGAAGAATTGTCAGTGAATGGGGAGAGAGACCGAGAAACATCCATGCTGGGATTAATCCACTGATTTACTGCTTGACCAAGTATCAAGCAATTAAACTGTAATCAAATATTGACTTTGCGTACAGAGAATTGGCTCATGCTGTAGGAAGTAGCAAAGCAACCAGAGTGAAAAATTGTACTGGACTCATTCATACAGTGCTACATAATTACAAAATGTAAAAGTCTCCTTATAGATTTTGAGATGGATTCTTTTAGTTTCCACTCTTGACCCGAGCATTCTTCTGCACAGCCACAATGGGCAGTAGCCACTGAATGGCAGTCATCATGCATCTTTCTTTTGCGGTGTGTGCTTGTATGGCACAGATCCCTAATCATTGTGTTCCTTTCAGATAAAGCAGAAAAAAAAAAATTCAGTAGATTTGATCCACCCTGGGCAAATGAGATGGGGAAAGAATATTGGCTGCCGTTCTTGCTCTTCCCACTGGAAGGCACTATTTCACCAGCTGCCAAGTGGCTGTTCTTTATTGTCCTCTTTTGCTGGTTTGCCCATTGCCTGGTGAGTGGCGTTAGTAAAACAGCTTGGAAAATGATGCAGCCTGACTCAGACAGGTTCCTCTTAATGTTGAGAGCTTAGATTAATTGTTCCCTTCCTACAGGTGCCTCAGCAGATGAGGAAAAACAGAGACAAGGGTAGTAGCAAAGATTCTGCTCTTCCTGTCCAGCTCTTGCCATCCAGCAGCCCAGGGACTGAATGGCTTTGTCCCAGAGCAGAGTACAGGACACAATGATGTAAAGCTTACTCGATGTTGGTGTCATTCCCCAGAGTGCAGGGGCTGTACGTGTACTTGTAGACCTGCAAGGGGATAAAGTCAGAGGTGATGGCGATCACTAAGCCATTGCCGATGACAGACAAAATGCCAATGCCCTCCAGAACCTGCAGCCAGATTCCTGTAAGGAGAGAGGACATTAGAGTCATGCCCAGTTAAGGGCATCAGCTCTACTCTGGGGCACAAGGCACTACCTACCAGCTTGAAATCTAAGGGAATTTTGCCACTGTTGTGAATGGAAAGAGGACAGGGCTTGGCAAGGCAAAATCGGTGGAATAGAGGTCTTTGGGGCACAGCCAATGTCTCAGTACAGCAGCTCAGTGTGGGGCAGAGGGCACTAAGGTTGAGATTTACTGAGCACTACTTCCTAACCAATAAAGTGGGCAGATGGGCCATCAGGAAACTCCAGGCAAAGTTGTGGCTTACAAAACAGGGGATGGGCTGTGTGGTTCAGACTGAGCCAAAGTGTTCATCCATGCCGCTCTGATGTTACCCTGGCAAAGCACCTCTGTCTTGATCTGCAACCCCACCTGCAATGCTGCCCTCCCCTCCAGCTCTCCGAGCCCGCCCTGGAATAGCACTTACGGGCAATCAACGTCATGATTTAGATAAGGAATGTGTAGCAGCGTTTCATGACACTTATAGCAACACCAGGACCAGCCCATAATTTTTTGTGGCCCCCTGCAAGAAATAGTTCTGGGACTCCCTGACGCAAAGAAGTCAGTGGCGGGGGGCGGGGGGTGGCGAGCAGCCAAAGAAGCTGGCGGCAGTGGCAGCGGCAGAGGGGGATGGGGGGTAGCAAGTGGCTGGACGTGAGGCTGGTGTTGGTAACATCAGTGGCAGGGATGGGGGGGGCGAGTGGCCAGATGTGAAGCCAGTGGCAGTGGTGTCAGTGGCAGGGGGGTGGTGAGTGGCTGGACACTGGGGGTCCCTTGGCTGCAGGACCCCCTGTGGCCACTAGTTTTGTAGGCTAGGATGGGACAGCCCTGGGCAACACATACACAAACAGGCTCCCTTTGAGCACATGCTCTGACCAGTGAGCTCCCCTTTGTCCCTATCTCACCGATGTCCTTGGCTTTCCTAGGCACCAGGCGTCTCTGCAGCTTCACCATCTTGATGGCATCCAGCCGGATCTCAATGATGTTGTTGATGAGTGCCAGCATTGGGGCAAGGGGGAAGGCAGCCACAAAGATGGTGGTAAAGCTGTACTGGATCACTGACAAGGGGAGAAACGCCAAACTCTGAGAGAGGAATCCAGCAATAGAGGAAAGGGCCTGTATTTGACATCCAGGTAATGGCATGACCTGGGTTGGCCTTGCAAGGGTGAAAGGTGAAATGTGCCACCTTCCCTTTCCCCCAGTGACCTGTCTTCATCATGGAAGGTGATCAAGAGCTCTCTGCCCTCCATACAGGTGAGTAGTTAGAGAGGGTCAAACTCTAGTGCTGGCCAGCTCAGCTGGGCAGGGTGGTAGTATATGTTAGTGGTCACACCAGTACCAGTATGTTATGACATCCATGAATAGGGCACAGTAGGGAAGGATAGGAATTGCCACTCCTCAGGCATAAATTGGTCAATTTATGCTCGTTGGGTTTAAATTGCTCAGGGATCCTCCCGGGGCAGCTCAGCTCAAGGGACAATCTACCCCTCCGTGCACGAGGGTCACTGAGCAGCCAGGAAACTGGACCCATTTTCTCCTGCCCCTGCCCTGGACACAGCAGGTTCTGCACAAGAATAGGCTGCTGAGTGAAGAAGTTGCAGGGGTCCTTTCCTCCCCCACCCACCTCTCAGCCACGGACACAGATGCATCAAGCCTGACAGCATTCCACAAGCCCCAGGATGAGACTGAAGCTCTGAACCCACCCCACTAACACAGAATCACAGAAAAGAAGGGCCTGAAGGGTGCTTAGAAAGTCCAACCCCCTGCTCCATGCAGAATCATCTCTAAGCCATCCCAGCCAAATGATTGTTTAACCTGCTCTTATCAATGAGGGTTGCTGCTACTACTCACAGGAGCTCCATCCCTGACGGCTGCATGGTTAAGAACTACCCCTCACACCATACTGTCAAGAATTGGAGCCCTCTAAGAGGAGCACTGTCACAGGGCATTTACATCACCCTGAACCCCAAGTGCTGAGACACTGGGAATGACTGCGCATATGTCCAAGACCCAAAACTGAGAACAACATTTTCTCTGCAGCTCAGTGTCACTTACTCATTTCCAAGAACTCATTAAATAAGCTGAAGACGTTGACTTCATTCAACTGGTAGTTTCTCTGCCACTGCTCCTTGCAAGGGTCCTCAGCTTCCTTTTCCACCTGGACTTTATTTTTGACCTTTGTGTTCACCGGCAGCTGTCTTATCTTGTAGGTAATCCAGCTGGAGGGACAAGAATATGAGGGATGAGGGATGTGAGCTAAGACACCAATTCTGTGCTTACCTGAGCTCCTGTGGAATGGCTTCCTCTTGGGTGCCAAAATGAAGGCCTGAGCCAGAGGTTTTTTTTAAATGCAGTGTACTAAACATCATGCATGCACATGCACACCCCCTCCCCCCCTCAAATGCACATGGACAAACTCCTTCTTCCAAGCTTATCACTTTATACCAGGGTGGTTTACCAACAATAGAGAGGTAATGTCCCTCAATAAGATGATCCAGTAACTCTAGTTCACAAAGAACTCAGCTGTGGACTGCAGCCTCCTGTTGATGAGCAGGTACTTGTGTGACCAGGCCTCCTGGGCTGGTGGGTGGCGGAGTGGGGAATGAAAGTTCTCCTTTGGTGTTGCTGCTAATGGGTGGGAGATATGCACTGAAGTTTAGGGGATAGCTTACAAAGGATATGCTAAGAAGCTACAAGATCCATTCCAACATCCAAAGAAAATCTCTCTTTTAAATCTTGAGTTTTAGAGAAGGTTCAAGATGCCAGATTGACAGCTATCTGTGGGATAAGCTATTCAGTGGAAGTAGTTTATGTCTGCGACTTGATCTGTTTGTTCCTTCCTTCTCTTGTTTTTGTGAATGGATCTGAGTTGAATTCTTTGTAGGGACCTTGTTGGGCAACTCATTCGGTATTCAGAATGAACTATTTTGGTCACATTTGCCACAGGATCTCACTTCTGATCCCTGATCAGATGATCTAACCATTCTAAACTACTTCTGCTTCTTCCTGAAGCAAATGTTATGTAATTGTGAGAGGATTTCAGGATTGAACTAACATCACTGTCTGGCCTCACATTCGTTTTCCCTAAGGAGAACTCCCATGAGTTCCACTTTCTGCAGAATATCTGACTCAGACACACAAGAGCCCCTATGAATGCCCATGACATGCTGACTTACGGGGAGATGTACTCTACCATGTTGCTCAGAGTCTGCTTTAGGATCATTATGGTAGCCATCTGGATAAAGAGGTCAGTCATGCATCCACTTGGGTGGCACTGCAAAGAGGAGAGAGACTAAGAGTCATACTGCACAAAAAAGCTGGCCTGGCTTGAGGCCTGGGAGGGAGGTTGCTACATGTTGTAGCAGAAAGCCCCCTTTGTACATTTCCCTTCTGGACATGGATATAACAGAACCCCCTTCTTGCCTGCACCTCCCTCCATCCCCCCTATTTTGTGCATTTCTTTTCCTTCTCAGTATTGGCAGAGACCTAGCACACTCATTGCATGGGTGTGGCAAGACTCAGAGCCAACCAGAAAGCTGAAGTGGCTTTTTGTAGGAGAAACCTAGAAACTGCATCTACATATCAATTAAGCTCAGTGTCACTACAGAAAACAAAAGAACTAAAATATCCTCTGCAGAGACCGTAAATATATCCTGTGCCAACCTAACTCACTTACTGTTCCCAGTAGCCTTTGATCCTCACTACCTCACATTGCATTTTTATATATGTCTCACAGTGCATTTTCATATTTCATCTGTTTCATCTTTATATTTTATACCTTTAAGCTGTCATGGGGAGAAACAGAGGGGCAGACCCCCAGGAGCCAGGGGGGAACCCTGGGGTCAGGAACCTGCTGGGGCAGGCAAAAGTAAAAGGAAAGAAACAAAAGACTTCTTGCCTGTAGCAGGATCCGCAGCAAAGCCGAAAATGGAGGCAGGACCCCAGTGGCTTGTTAGCAGCTTTATACAGCTTTATACAGCTGCGGCCAGCAGATAACGCCGGTGGCAGGAGCCGGCCAGTGGATATAAAAAGAGCCGCTAACAAGGAAGCAGGGGAGAGACCTGCAGCGACCTTAACAGGGAGGTCACTCCCAGAGCCCCTATGAGGGGAAAAGAGGTGAGAAGCTGCCTCTCCCAACACGAGGGAATGCAGTGAAGCCCGCCGCAGGCACAATGCTGCTGGCAGCAGCACAGGGAGCGAGGAAGCTGTAGTCCCTTGCTCAGACTGGGGACCCGGCCCTGTAGACTGGAAAGAATGGAAGGAGGGTGACGCCAGGGGCTACTACTGGGGAGCTGGAAGGAGCAGCAGCCACCAGGACACCAGACCAGGTGGGATTGTCATGGGCTCCGGTGGGCTTGAGGAGATGCCCCTGGTGGGGGACGAAGGGCATAAGCAGCGCGAGGGGCTGCAGAAGATGGGCCCCAGTGACGTAGAGTGCCCCCGATGAGGGACATGTGGGAGGTGTGCAGAGAAGGGCCACCATGGGCCCAGCAAGCCCACAGCTGGGTCAAGGAGTGAGGAGGAGAGCATTAGAGCTGGCAGTCTAGCCAGGTCCCAGTTTATGGCTGCCTAGGGACTTCGGGCATTTGAGGCCTGGCATTGTTGAGCTAGACACAAGTATAGAGGGCAAGAGGGCAGAGACCTTCCCCTTTTTGTGCACATCTTAATATTTTCTTTGTTGTTGATAACGTTTCTTTTGTTTCCCACCTTTGGAGGTGTTGTGGTGTGCAGTATCTAGGGACCAGGTGTTGCTTAAGACCAGGAGGGGTTACTATCCCCTGGGAGGCCAGGCAGTAGTAAGGCGCTGTGGGCGGAGGTAGGGTTAGGCCCCACAGGCTGATACAACCATCCCCAGCGAGGATCTGCAGAGCCCCAACAGTCGGAGAAACCAGCCAGAGGACATCGTGAACCCATCAAGGCAGGGTGTAAGGGCGAGGTAGAGGGGAGGTGGAGCCTCACAGAAGATCGTCATCCAGCTGTCCCATACTCGAGAGAACCCCAGCAGTCGGTCACCCCACCACTGGAATAAGATACAAAGTCATAGCAGGCGAGATTAGGGGAGAGACTATTCAGGAGAGAGACATCCACTCAACAGGACAGCAGGGATGGACAGGTGAACACCCCCGAGCATCTGGGGCCGTGCGGCGTGTGACCAGATGCTCGAGACCACACGGGCACATAAACTCTTAAGGAATGTACTCCCTGTAGAATGAAGTTACACCCTGGACCATTGTTAAAATTGCATTAAAATTATAATTGTAAAGTGGTAAAATCTGTTGAGTGAATGATGTTCATCAGTAGACAATAGCCTAGCCAAAGGAACTCCATTTTAAGCTAATCAAGGTAAAGAACTGATTCCTAGAACTGAGCACTCACCCTATGGACTATTCCTGTAACCCAGGACAATACAGACATTAAGTCAGTAAGTCAAGGGTGGACTCTCAAAACTTCAGGTACCAGCAGGCAGAAACCCCTGTGACTAACAGTTGTCAGGTGCTACTCAGGACCCACATGGGACAGCAACCTCCGGATTGGGTAACCAAGATGATACAGGGGGATTACACAAGTCTGCCAGAAAGGGATAAAAGGCAGTGGAGCGTGACCTTCAGTGGCACCTTCTCATCTAGCACCTGACCTACTGAGGCAGAAGGACAAGCAGGTGACCCCCTTCTAGAGAAGACATCACCTTGAAGGAAGCTGACCATCAACAGCAAACTCCAGGGCCTTGGATAGGTAGATACACTATCACTGCAGCAGCCACTACACACTATACTACATGGGTTTGAATGAGTGAGTGCATGTGTGTGTGTATGTGCTAAGGTGACCAGTAACGCCCATAACTCAAAGCTTGCATTTATGATTTCATTAGTAACTTCACATCCCATCCAATAAACTAGAATTTATTATGATCCTGTGAGTTGGTCCTTTGTAGCCAACAATGTGCCTTAGCCAGGAAGAAACTAAAGTGATAGAAAGGATATGCTGGATAGAAGAAAGCAAAGGGTCTTACAGAGACAGTGCCAGGTAGAGGGGAGGAGAGAGACAGAGAGGATATTAACACCAAAGGGCAGCAGAGCATTATAGGATCATCGCTTACCTCTTCCAGCCTCCATTTGCCAGCTACACGCACATAATTCCCAGGTCGGCCATTAATCCTGACAAGGAAAGTATAGTTAAATATCCCAGAACCTAGTGCTGAGAGCCCTTCACCCTGCATGCACTGGACTGCAAGGTTAATGCCTCCCCCGCCACCCCGCCCTGAGGGTTAGAGGCAGAGTTAAGAACACCAACCCAACAGGAAACCACAAGATAGGGAGGCAGAGAACTATCCTCAGGGGTTAAATCTTGTCCCCACTGAACTCAACAGCAAAAGTCCTGTTGACCTCAGTGGGGCCAGCATCCCCACAATGAATCAATGTGGGAGCACTCAGATTCCCTCTGTTCTTACTAGCTGTCCATGTCCCTCCCGCCAGCACAGCCATACCCAAGAGCTTGACTGTATTCTCCAGGGGCAGAGCAGGCACATAGGGTCCAGCCCACACCACTGTTGCTGTGAACATTGCCAATGTACACAAGCCAGCGCGGATCAGTGGGTGCTGCTCATGCTCACCTCCCCAGGAAGAAGGCAACGTAGATCAGCGAGGAGAAGTAGGTGAAGAACTGGAAGGTGAAGAATTTCACTGTGAAGTTGTTTTCACGCTGAGATAATGTCCGCGGCTTCTCTGGAAACAGGAGGGCAGATGAGCATGTGAGTCATGGAAGCAGAAGCTTCCTTCTGTCCTGGAGAGGCTCCCATGGCACATCAGGGTGGAGCCTTCCTTGCAACATGGTCAGGGATTTGGAAAGGTTTTATCTAGCACTGATCTCCTGGAATTCATATCCCCTTTCTACAGATCCCCAACTGTCCCAAGGCATCAGCACAACAATCGGTGTAGATCTGGCCTCTAGGAGGAGGCTCCTCAAGTTGGCTGTTCATAGGGTTCTACTTGAGGCTAGAGCAGAAGCTAGCACTCATGAGAACAGGATGGATACCATGGTGTGAAGGAGACAGAGACACATGCAGCCATCATGTGGGTTGTAATCTGGCTCCTCACCAGGGACTATCTAACCTTTATTACAGACCCCCAGCTACAGCCTGTCTAGTGGGTGTAGAAGACCAGAACTCTGTGATCACTCCACATATCCCTTTCTTTACAAAGAACAAGATTAGATTACAGCTCATTATAAATGATTAACAACAAACTATACCCCTTAAAACTATTTGCACTGCTATACCAACCAACCAACATATACACCTAAAACTATAAATGGATGCTCAAGTCTGCAGAGGTCTGCTTGGTCTTCCAGACCTTGTTCTAAATTCTTTAGAGCTCCTGTCTAACAGCCTTCTGACTCACTTCCTTGAGGAGGAGATTCATTTTCATGCTCTGCCCCTGTTCCTTTTGGTGGTTGATCCTTTTTATGTTGAGGTAGAATATACTGAAGAGGAACCCAATTTCCTGTTCAGTATATTCCAGAAAGGCTGAGTCAGCCTTTTGGAGTCCCCACTAAGTAAACCCAGGGGTATTTGCCATATTTTGGACAGTTCCAAGCATTTGGAAACTTTTGAGCCAAACTTTCTCCCCTGGCAGCAGGTCTGGTAGTGGTTTGCTCTGTATCAAATATTGAAGTTTTTTTGCTGCAGCAGTTTTTGTTCAGCATCTTGTTTCTTAAATTCTTGTAGGTTGGGCCATCTAGGGTTAAGCTGCACTGGTGCCATAGTTAATAGTGTCCTAACTTGCTGTCCCATAAACCGTTCAGCTGGGGAGAATCCTGATGCCAATGGCATAGATCGATATGTCAGGAGTGCCAGATATGGATCACTGTATCTACACAGAAGCTGTTTCAGAGTCTGTATTGCTCTCTCAGCTTCTCTGTTGCTCTAACCATAGTGAGGACTGCTAGTGTGATGTTTAAAATCTAAGTTCTTTGCAAACTAGGAGTAACTCAGTGGTAAATTGAGTTCTATTGTCCAATATGAGGACCTCAGGAACACTCTTTCTTGCCATGGTAGGGGGATGGATTTGATGAACTGCTCAGGTCCCTTCCGACCCTACTAACTATGAAACTATGAAACCAGGCCTTGCAAAAGATAGACTTCAGTTTTTAGATGACCTGTGCCCATAACATCTGTATAAGTAAATCTAAGTCAACATACCTGGAAAAATAATCAAGTGCAATAGCATATGTGTATTCTTTTCATTCCTACCTGCTGCTAAGATCTATCTGGTATAATAGTAAAAAGTAATGGTTTGAGAGAGAGTCTTT